TAAAAAGAATAAGATACAATAAAAAAGAGTTAAACTAAATGTTTTGTAAAAACTAATAAGTACACAGGGGTGTTTTTTACTTAAGGGACAAAAGAGGGGCACTGACTTACAGGGGTGGCATGAATTTTGTGTCTCAGCTTTCCAGTTTTTTCCAAATTATGTAATTCCAATACTGTTTAGGGACCCCAGTCTGCAGAAATACTCAAATACATTAGGCGAAAATAACACGTTTATACCACGTGCAAAAAAACTGCATGAGATTAGCATAAAGTGGGCATGTCTGCAAAGGGGAGACTTGTGGGTACCCATAGAGCTTATTTTCATTCAGATATCCTAAGGTCAGAGGTTTTTGAAGCATTCCTACTCAACATGTAAGCAAAACATGGTTGGTACCAATGGATGTGTTAACACAGCAAGTTTTGCATGATACCAGTATCTTCACTCCTGCTTTTACAACCAGAGTGGAAGAGGGATAATGACGTGGCACTTGGGGTGGCCAATCAGAATTTAGGCATCGCCATTGCCACCCCAGGCCCCCCCTCTGGACACACCCCTGATTAAAGTAACAAGGAAATTGGATTCACAAAAGTATAGACTACGTTAACTTTCAAATAAGTTGGATTGTCTCTCATTCCAGAATATAACGTATGAAGAAACAAAGAAAAGTATCACACACACATAAACATATAGATATAGTGTGGTTCACGACCATAAAAGTAAAAAGGGTAAAATACACTTGGTTAGCAATAAATTAATAACAATAAAACTCAAATAAATAGTCACAAAACAGCTATAATATAACAAAATAAAATATAATACTCCAACAAGGGTGTTTGGGTTATAGATAAAAAGGTGTGTGTCAGTATTTATGCTTGGTCATAGCTCTGACAAAATGGTGGACGTAACAACGTTAGCTTAACTGCAGTGGGACTGTGCCAATAGGGGTTGCTATAGCAACATAATGAAACAGCTGGTGGCAGGATGATTAATAAAACCTAAAATAAATAGACTCCATGCTACTCCAAAGCCAGTTCTCTATGCCACAAGTCCACAACTCGTGCCACAGGAGGCCATGGTCAAGCAGCTGTGGATGTAGTGTCATTTTGTGTCATAACACACAGACACACACATCTGAACATGTGAGGAGGTGTTCAAGCACAGACACGACCTGCCCCACGAGTTTACAGTATGTTGTCTCCTACATACATTCACAGAGCTATTGTCCTATACTTCCAGGTGCAGGTCATCCTATCCCACTTCTTTAATTATGCACACTAAGAAGGCCCCCCATCTGAGGTTTGGGTCCAGGTGATGCTGCTCCTTGGTCTTACTGTGTATTGGCTGAGTACAGAGACAACACGTTCTGGACTTTATTCCTTTTTATTTATAGTTTTTCTATTATTATTATTATTATTTTTGAAACCTCCCAGTATTTATCTACTGTCTTGTTGCTGTTTCTGGACTACATTGTAAGTACTGCATGCATTATATATGTGCATTTAGATTATGATGAATGGAGGAAATATATCACATCGAATAATGATTATTTTGAAAGAAAGATCTGGTATTACAGGAGAAATTCGTATTTTTTTAAATTGAATCTTTCTTTAACCAGGAAAGTCTAATTGAGATAAAATACAATCTCCTTTTCAATGTTGTCTGGGCTAAGATAGGCAGCAATAAAAATTGTCAAAGACTAAAAATATATGGCAAATACCACAATATCTGTGATGCTTCATATTTTATTTGCAAATATATTACAAACCAAACAAATCATTGGTACCAGATTGGTAAATGCACTAAATAAGGCAATAAAAACATAAAAATTTGTTGCAAGCTTCCCCCAGTCACAGCTGGAATGAAGATAGAAGCTAAATGTACTTTAAATCCTTTTAAATTGTGGTGATGTATGTTGTATTTACAAAACCACCACTAACAGTCATCTGACTTCTTACGCTGCAGTGAGCATTTAATTGTAAGAAACATTGTAATTGTCCGTGTAGTAGTTGGGCTATTGAATGGCATGGAGCTGTGAATCAGTAGGGTTACCTGAAGCAGGATATCATGTCTCTCTAAACTCTAACACACTTTGTACTGCACTCTGTGTGGCCTACGCTACTTTCACTGACCAGGGTCCTGTTTCACCACTTCTTGTTTTTGTTCCAAGTACTACAAGCTGTGGCCTCTGTTCTTTACATTGAGCATGTGTGTGTGTGCACCATCAAGGGGGTCTCAGTCTCTTAGTAGATTACTTTTGAATCGTTTATACTCACTGCTGTGTGATTCTCACATTTCTCTTTTGGAGGGGTCTTTCTTTATATTCGTGTTGTCATTTTCAGACAGAGGAACTCCTGCTGCTTCGAATCTCCGGAAGGTGAATGAGCAGAGCCAACATGGAGAACAGCAAGGTGACCAATCATCAGTGCAGGCACAGTAGGAGACTTTAACCTACAGGTTTAACTGATAAACATCACTAATTGTTAGAAAGGAGCCACCATTTATACACCTGTGCTTTTCCTGCTGACAGGTCAAAAGTATACATTGTGAAAAAAGGTATATGGCTAAAAGCAGAGTTTGTTATATTCTGATGACATGTACTTTTAAAGGGTCAGTTTACAGAAATCACAAAATATCAGCATATAAATAAAAGCTATTTGCTAGAGATGTAATAATACACTCAACACTCAAATCTCTTCTGGATTCTGTTAAATAAATCACAGAATCCTTTTATTTTTGAGGTAGGATAAAAACTGTTCAAAACATTGCATATTTAATTTTCTTTGTAAAAGTAAAACTGATCTGTCTTTTCACTTTGATACCACGATTAATTTTTCATCTCCCTAAATTGAATCTTCACATATTTGTATCACGATATATATCTTTACATTCCTACTGTTTGCATATACTCTTTTTGGCCCCCCGTCAGAAGCCAACCTAATAAAAAAGGATCCAAGCTGACAATATTTATCAGCAACACTTTATTTTTTTGTTTATTTTCTCTACATAAATCATATTTTTCCACTCCATGTTTTTTCCACTGCTCATCCACGCCCCAGCTGCAGTGGCTCTATGCCCCACCAGGGGGGCCCGCCCCACAGTTTGACAACCACTGAATTAGCTTAAGTGGGAGAAAATGTTGAACTGTCCCTTTAAAGCATGGCTCACCCCTGCTGTTTGTGTGTGTGTCCCCAGCAGCCAGTGAAGGAAGTGCTCCCCCTGCCTCGCCACCCTTCTCCACTTCC